CCCTGATTTCCAGCTTCCTTTCCTCACGTGGCATTTGAGCAGCTTGCACATTTGCTGAAGAATCAGCTGTGAAATCTGTGGTTTCCTGTGGCACATTTCTATATTATTTATACAGGCCATTATTGAATGAACTGTATAAATATTTATCACAGAGAACAGCCTTTTGATCATAAATAGGGGCCAGGAGTCAGTGCAGCCCATGCTGGGGACTTGGAAGGACCTGAGTTTTCAGACATCTTCAAGACTGAGATATTAGGTATGTCTCAGTACTTGTGCAGCACAGCTTAAATTTCTCTTCATTATTTTTCTTTCTTTTTACCATCCAGGGGCCATAGCTTTCTTCCTCTTTCCTGACTGTCCTCCCCTAACCGATGTTTCTTTTTAGAGTGTTCCTGTTTGCCTAAAAACAGTGAAACAAAACCTAAGTTCTACTCCTCCTCACTCTGAAAGCAGGCTTTGGAATTGCCCTGGCTTAGTCTGGAATCATAGCCTCTGTCTCTGCTATACCTTAGGGTCTTCTTGGAATACATCAACTCATTTCCCTGAGAAATAGGGCCCCCAGTTGCCTAGTTGAGAGGGCTACAGTAAGGAGTAAATAAAATCATGAAGTCAGGTAGGCAATTTGCAGGGGAGAGCTCAAGAAAGACTAACTTTTGTGGCATCTGTTATTGTTGTTATTGGAGTTACCAAAGGTTTGATTTTCAGATGAATGTTGTGGAAAGTGCCACAAACTCACCATTGTAGGCTGGGGTTCAAATCCTGGGCCTGGCTTTTGCTGCCTGTCTGCTTTGGGCAGATTACTCCTGCCACTGAGATATAAAGTAATGAGTGATAGATTTACTACTTTCTTGAATTCGTTTCTGTAGTATGATAAGCTCTTGATGGAAACAAGCAACACAATGATGATCCTAACCCCTTCTTCAATTAGAAAGGGAATATTACTTCCTTCAATTAGAAAATATTATTCCCTAATTAGAAAAGGAATAGTGTTTCTCTGTTTCTTAGGTCTTTGTTTCTTTAGGTACTGATTAAGTTTGGAATTCAGGATACAGACAACTGTACTTGTAACCGAGGGACAAAGGGCACGGAGTAGGAGGGGCAAGGGACTTGCTTTAGTCTCCTGGCAGTTTTCATACCATGCAGATCTGGTTTCAGGGACTCTTGGTGCTCAAGGGCTCAGTCTTGCTTGATTTCAGGTTCCAGGTGTGGAAACAACTTTTAAAGAGATTAAGACCACAATAATGGAGAAATGGTGAACCTGAATGTTGAATTAGGATCTCTTTCTTAGACAAACATGAACGGAGAGGCTGTGGCAAATACTGCTGGGAGAACACCTCCATGGCTCCCAAGAGGGCTATAGCATCCTATAGAATACCTAGTAATACTTTATGGAAGTTGGAGGGTTTCTAGATCGAGGCACTCTGGTGTTGGGAGGACAGTCTTAGAAGGTGGACAGCCTAGCTTCTGGTTAGCTAACCTCAGCACAGTAGGCAAGGGCCCTTAATACAGTCCTCCGCAAGTCATCATTTAGTAACGGAAGGCTATCCAAAGGCAGCAGGGCATCTTAAGACAGGTTAAGGGCTTGAGAGGGTATTCTCACCGTCTTACTTGGTGGTTGCATGAACTATTGGAGTATATTGCTTCAGCTAGAACTCTCCAATAAAATGGTGATGGTAATAGTTGTCTCTTCACTGGTTTTCAGGATCAGGAAGCAGCAGTGCAAACAGGCTGCTTAGCAGATTATCAGATACATAGTAAACATGGCGCCTTTTATTATCCCCCTAATGATGGTTTCTTATGATACTCAGTTCATTCACTGGGTCGCAAGCACTTGTTGAATTTCTGCTTTGTGACAGGCACTGGCTATCCTACAGAAACAAGGGCACAGTTTGAGGTAACTATAATGGTTATACTATACTTTCCACATAGTGTGAGCGCTCTCTTGAGGGTAGGTTCTTTTCCTAGATTTACAGTCCAGTCTAGAGCAAGCCCACACCGGGAGTGTGGAAATCATTCTCTTATTTTTCTTGGTGGTGGATGATAAGACATTGTTCTATTTACAAAGGAATGAAGTATCAGAAGGAACCCAGGGCTAGGTCCATGGGGAATCTCTCTTGCTTGGCATTGTCAGAGTAGCAAGAAGCCGGAATGTTCCTGACCAGGTATAAGACAGAAGTTTTGTAGAGATTCTTCATTTCCCATTTATTTTCTGGTTTCTCTCAAGGTTTGGAATAGTCTTTTAAAGTTTTAGGTAAGAGCAGATGCTGTTGGCAATCTTGGGTCTGTGGTGTGGTAACTAATGCTGCCAGCTTGACAGAACCTAAAATTACCTGGCCTCTGGGTATGCCCATGGGATTCATCTTGATTGCTTTAGTTGAGGTGAGAAGACTGTTCACAACGAATAACACCACTCCCTGGCTGGGATCCTGGACCATGTCAATGGAGATCGGATGCTGAGCAGTAGTGTACATTCACTAACTGCCTGTGTTCCAATTGTGGGTTCAGTGTGACTGTTTGCTTCAGGGTACTACAACCTTGATTTCCCCATCATGATGATGGCTTAGACCTCAAGCTGTGGGCCAGAATAAATCCTTTCTCCCATAAGATGCCTCTGTTAGAGTGTTTTACTACAGCAGTGGAAGAGTAGATAAGGTACATGGGAAGGAGCTGCTTCCCCAAGCTTTCACAATGGCGATGGTGGAAGCAAGAAGAAATGCATGTAAATTGAGGTGCCTGCAGCTGGTGGCATGTGGGCGGAACAGTTGGCAAGGGCCCTGTGAGGCAGGGCATCCTCTTGTATTGTCCATCACCTTGTCATCCGCAGAGTGCTAACACCCTGATTATTCCATCATATCCCATGAAGAAAGAAATCCTACCAGTGGATTCCAGGATACCATTGACTGTAAGAATCACTCTGATTTCAGGGAAGCTACATATGAAAATAAAAATCTTCTCTTAGAATGCAGCTGTAAAACATTCTAAGAAAATACTTAACTGATCGATACAGAGATTCGAATAAACTAGCAAGCTGTGAGATGTACTGATGTGTGCATAATAACTGTGGTAACTGACAGAGCAGAGGCAGGACAATGGGCACACCATGCCTCTGGGAAACCTTCTAGGTTTCTGTAAACACACCTTATGATGCATATACAATGTTCACATCACCTAATGCATTTCTCAGAAAGCAACCCTTTTAAGTGACACAAGCCTGTATAAGCACAGACTAAGAAATTCAAATAAACTATGGATCTATTATTATTTTTTTTCTATTGGTTCACTGATTCAGGAGTTCATTCAACAAGCCATTATTGAAAACCAGTTATAATCCTGACACTGGAAGGAAGTGGGGATGCAGAAATCAGTAAATTTCCCTTTTTATTCGGGTTCAGTCCAATAAGGGAGATAGACATAGAAACACACCACAAAACAAAACAGAACAAGACAAAAACTGTGGTCCAGAGTGACAAAGTTTGAAATGAAAGTATAGATACTGTACTGCATTGGCAGCCTTTGTACGTGTGCAAGAACAGCAAGAAGCCCCCCCCCCTTAGGTAGAGGATAGAATTGGGGAGGGAAGATGTGAGGAACCCAAGCAGAGCAGAGCACAAGTGTACTTCCAGGACTGTGAGGATATTTAGGACCCCACTTCGGGGTGAGGTGACAGGGCAGTGTTCATTGGGGTTGAGAAGCTCACAGAGGGCCTCACTTGTTGAAGACCTCAGGCTGTCTTCTCTATAGTAATAGTATTCTGCTGTTTTGAGAAAGAGCCTAGCAGAGTAATCACTACAATGTCCATCAAGGCTTGATCCTGGAAAACTGACTGGGGATACTAGGAAATGAAAAGCTAGACACACAGATGCAAGTAAGAAAAAGCCAGAACTGGGTGGGCTGTGCACTCTGATGGAGATACATCAGCAGTGTTGCTGAATTTTCTTGTCTCTGCCTGGTCCCGCAGCTGCCTTACCCCAAATAAGCATGCAAAGACTTATATTAATTATAAAGCTGTTGGTTGCTGGCTAGGGCTTCTTATTGTCTATCTCTGTTTTAATTATTAACCCATTTCTATTAATCTAAGTATTTCCACATGGTCTTACCTTGCCAAAGAAGGGTCTGGACCTGTTACTCCTTTGGCGGCCTACATGGCGGCTGTCTCTGGCGGGCTCTTTCCGCCTACCTTTCCCAGAATTCTCCTTATCTCCTAGTTCTGCTTGTCTTCCTGCATTATTCATCAACCAATAAGAGAAACATATATACAGAAGGACATCTCTCATCACCAGCAGTGTCTGGGCTTTGGATGTGAGGGGTTATTGTATACAGTTGTAGGAGGATGTGTTATTGTATACAGTTTAGTGGTAGGTGGGGCTGCATTATATAGCTGACAGAGAAGGCAGGCTTAGTTAATCTTGGTAGGGGAGTCTCTGTAGGGCAACAGTCTCAGGTTGTATACATCTAGGAGGAGGAAACTGCAGTTGACATTTTCTTATGGACAGGTGAAGGCTTTCACATTCTCATGGGTCTGAGGAATTGCCTGTCCTTAACATGGACATACTCATGTCAAACAATACACATTCATTCAGGACTGCCTTTACTCCCTATCAAACTACTAAGAGAAAGCAGGGAGGATGGGACTAGATGCTCAGCATTTATCTGTTTCATTTAAAATTTTGTTTTTGTTGGTTAATAACTTAAAGAGAAGGTGCCACTGCTGAGTGTCTGAAGGAATGAATTTGAAAACTGGCACTCATCTTCATATGGGCTTTTGAGGGAAGAAAGCCAAGGAGACAGGAGGACCCACCTGCTGAGACTGGGAACCCTCTCAGGCTCAGGGGGAGGCAGTGAGCTTCATTACTCTTGCTTCTCCATTTTCTTCTTCACCTGCCTCCGAGCCACAGGGAGCAAATGCAGATGGGAAATCATTATGATTAAGGCAGAAGCTACCAGTTTTAATGAAGTTGTTTTCCCCTCTTTTGTTCTTTTTTATTGGAATAAATATCCAGGAAGCAGTAACTGAACATCTGCCGGCTGACTTGTTTTAGAATCCCCAAGAGCCATGTGGCTAAGGAACCATCATTTCTCTGAAGTCGAGGGTGTACATTGCTGCTCAGGTTAAAGTTGGACCACAAGAGCTCTGACTGCCTGGCTGGCCAGGAGGACAGCTGTGCTGTGCCAGTGAAGTTACTGTCTGGAGGCTGCACCACTTGAGACTGGAGAGTGAGAGCCCTGGGAGATGACTGTGCCATGTGGCTCACCCTGTGAGCAGCCCCATGGGCCCAGGGATTCCTGAGGGTTCCCAGGTCAGGTTTCCTTGTAACTCACCAGGGGTCTGTCAGGAAAACAGATCATCTAACACACTCTTGAACCTGTCTCTCCTGGGTCTCCTCCCAATTCCCAGTCAGTTCATGATGGCTGCGGTATATCTGTTTCTTCTCAAAACCATTATGTCAAGCCTCTGAGGACGAAAAAGAGGCAGCCTGAGGCTCAGGGTTGCACAGGTAGGGAGTTCAGGCCTAGCTGCTCCAGTGAAGCATGGGAAATGCCTTTTGTTTGCAGGCATTGGTTTTCCTGTCAGTGTCACATGGCATCACCATCATGATGGATGTTTGCTCTTTAGGACCTAGTGTGTGGACCTAGTGTGAAGCCAAAAGCTGCTTGCCTTCTAGAGTCTTCCCTGCTCCAAAAGCATAACAGAGACTTCTTTGTACTTTTCTCCAATCAGAGAGAAGAGAGGAGAGCATGTTGGTGCTTTCATTGCTTGTCATAGGATACCTACCTGCGAGGTGGATTTGCTGCATTACTGACAAGGAAATGAGGCTTCTTTTGTCCCAAGGCTGCTGTTTTGTAGACTCAAATTCCCAGGATAAAAATCTGTCTCTTCTGGCTCCGTCTCTGTCTCCTACTACCCTCTCATTGTTCCAACTTTGCTTAAGCCGTCATGTTCTCAGGTGCCTAATTTCTGACTCCCTTCCAGGAATGGGAATGACATGTGTTGTTAGATGTGCCCACTCTTTGGCCATCTTGCTCAGTGCCTACAAAACCTTTGATTAGATAAATAAATAATAAACAGGTCACATTCAGGGAGTTGGATTCCCTTTTCTGTCCAGTTTGAAGATGTTTCTTGGCTGTCTGTGCAGGCCTATTTGTCTTCACATAGTGTTTTCACTTGTTCACCCCAGGCAAAGGAACCATGATGTCTGGTGGAGACCAGGAGCCAGGTCACTATTATGTGGGCATCGATGTTGGAACAGGTAGTGTGCGTGCAGCCCTGGTAGACCAGAGAGGAATACTTCTGGCTTTTGCAGAACGGCCAATTAAGAAGTGGGAGCCACAATTCAACCACCATGAGCAGTCCTCAGAGGACATCTGGGCAGCGTGTTGCCATGTCACAAAGGTAAGAGCCAAACCATGGCATCTCGTCCTTGTGCATGCTCCTTTTACTAGGCAGTTTTGTATGTGTACACTTGGGTGTTCACAATATCTTAGGGTAACTGCAGGCACAGAGCTGGATGATGTAGGCTTTGGCTTTCAGAAGTAAACGTTCCAGATACTGGGAGTGCCAGACAGCTGACATGTGCTGGGTGGACTGCTCCAGCCAGTACATGTAGCTAGAGCTGACTCTGAGGGCACGGGGGGGGGGGCAGGGAAGACAGGGTGGAGGATGCCGAAGCCTGAGATGTAGAAACGGGGATGTGAGAGTCATACCCAGTGTGCCTCTATTGTATGCCAGTGTGTGAACATGCACTTTGGTCAAACCTTTGTGACTGCCTTACAGCTAGTACTACCACCATTTTATTTTTATCTGCAAAGAATGGCAAAAGAGAGTGCTAGCCAGCTCCCCTGAGCTCAGGTAGTAGTTAGTCAGTGACTGGCAGCTGCAGGGTGGAAACCTAAACATCTGACTCGTATTAACAAAGAGCTTGTGTCCTCCAAATTGGACACACAAGGGGCACTGCATTCTGGGCAGGAGAAACAAGAGTATCCCATAGGGGCAGGAAATTATGGCCTGCTCTAAGAAAGCTGGGCATCTTCCTATGAGCCCCACACAGGCTAGGGTAGAGTGGCCTGTGATAAGGCTGGGCTTGCTGGTTTCAAGAAGGAAGTGATGCTGGCTGTGACTAGTTTGTATTTGAGGTCTGTGCTCTTCAAATGTCTTTATATTTTGATGATTATTAACAACAGGCATTCTTTAATCTCTCTATTCCCTGGAGGAGAAAATGAATTTCTGAGTTCTGTTCCTTCTCCCTCTTTCTAGTTGAGATCCTTAAATATTCATGAGGTGCTTGGTAATTTTCATCTGGACAGTCCTCTTTTTTTTTTTTTCTGTATTGATTGGTCTGCTTAAACTTTGATGAGCTCAGGGCAGCTGTTAGTGCCACCGGAGAAAACTGCACAGGGGTGGGTTGGGCCACCCAAGCACTCTTCAGAAATCAAAGAGGGGTCATCATCTCTTCTGCCTGTTTAATTTTCCTCTTCTCTCCCTGCTTCCAGCCCCTGCATCCATGAAAATCTTCTGCTCTTTACCCTTGGGTCTCTTTTGTTCTTCCAACGTTCTTGCCATTAAGGAAACTGTCAAGAAGAAAATATAGTTCCCCAATGAAGAGCTCCCTTAAAGCAGGTCTACCCCTGCACAGCTTGGTTTAATGGCAGACTTTTAATCATCTCCCAGTGGTGGCCAGCTCATCTTTTGTGTCAGCCCTCATAGCCACAGAAGTGCAGAGCATTAGTGCTCAGCCATGCCTCTGACTGCAGTAGATCTGCAGAAAGCCCATGGGCCTCTCACATGTGTGTGGAGATGTGGCAGTGTGCCTGGAGTAGGGTTTGTCTCATGCAGAACCTCATGCAAGGAGGAGCTGTAAGGAGGAGGCATTTTTGACACATTAAAGTATGTGTTCTGCAGTTGAACTGCCTGAGTGCGAGTCCCTGTTCTAGCATTGTTTAGCTAGTGATCTTGGACTAGCTACCATCTCTTGTTTAGTTTCCTTCTCTGTAAAAGAAGATTAATAAGGGTCCCAAGCTTGTTAAGATTGCTATGGTGATCAAATGGATTAAAGCATACAAAAGGTCCCGTCAATGTTAGGGGTTAAGCAATCATTGTTGCCTATGGTGGTGATGATAACAAAATGGGTAGAGCTAGGAGAATGGATTTCTGAGACAAAATATATTAGAAGTCCAAGTGCAAGGGGTTAGCTCCCTCTGGTTAGGGTTCCTTCTGTAGAAGACTTTGAAAAGCATTGGTCTAGGTCAGTAGTACTCCACCTTCCTAATGCTATGACCCTTTAATACAGTTCCTCACGTTGTGAGCCCCAAGCATAAAATTGTTTAGTTGCTTCATGACTATAATTTTGTTACTGGTATGAATTGTAAATATCTGATATGCAGGATATCAGATATTTGATTCTCAAAGGGGTCATGATCCACAGGTTGAGAACCACCAGTCTAGGTCAAGGACTGGTGTCCCTTCTGTCCTGTCTATGCTTTCTCACTGACTCCAGGAAGCAGAGATATTGAGAACAGTTGTGGCTTTCCTTTTCCTTGTTTTCCCCACATCCTCTAAGATTAATTTTATCCCTTAGTAGAGTTAATGACAATAAAAGTAGCAGTAATCATGACAAGGTGATGATGATGATGGCAGCTTGCATTCCTTGGTTAACCAATCATGTTGTAGATGCTGTGTTCAATATTTGTGTTCCCATCACTTCATTTGTTAATAGTTTTTCTTCTCTAGAAGATGAAAAAAGAGGGCTTCGAAGTAGTTCAGAAGCAGCAAGAGGTCTTAAGATGATTCAGAGGAAGGTATTGAGGGCCTCACCACCTCTCTCTTTAGCCACTCCCCCTGCATGGAGTCAGAGGTGCTTTAGGGTGCTGGTGTGTGGGGCCAGGAGCTCACCTTGTTAGTTAGTGTAAGCACTGCATGGTAGTGCCTTTACCTGGCTGTTGCTCATGCAGGCCCTTACAATTGGCATGCCTTTGTTGGGCCAGTATCCAGCACACCTAAAACATTCTCTGGAAACATGGAAGTCCTAGGAGACACACACACAACCCTAGGTCTTAAAGTGTACTTTTTGGATCCACAAATCTGTATCATTCCAATGACATAGGAACATCACAACTTCTTAGATTACTGCATTTCTACTGAGGAAAGAAGATAAGCTGAAAGAATCATGTGGCTAATGGTCATTGATGAATGCAGTTCTATTTTGAAATGTATATTTATGTTTGTATATGTGCATTCATGTGCATGATATACATGCTCAGATGGGTGCACATTATTGCACAGGTGTGCATATGTGTGTATATAGAGGTGTGCACGTGTGTGTGTGTGTGTGTGTGTGTGTGTGTGTGTGTGTGTGAGAGAGAGAGATAGAGAGAGAGAGAGAGAGGTGTGCGCGTGTGTGTGTGTGTGTGTGTGTGTGTGTGTGTGTGTGTGAAAGCTGGATGGCAACCTGGAATGTCTTTCCTAAGGAGCAATCCACCTTGCTTTTGAAGCAAGAGTCTCTCCCTGGGGCTTTCACCTAATAAGCTATACTGTCTGGCTATTGAGCCCTAATGATCCTCTTGTTCTCATGCTTGTTACCAACTGAGCCATTTCATTAGCTCCAGATATTGTTATTTTATTTAGCCTGAAAATATTTATGGAGCACCAACTGGATGCTATATTCTTTGTCTAGCACTGGAACTTATATAGAGAAACATCACAAGTTCTCTGCTCCTAAAGATAAAATAGTTTATCTGCATGAAGATAAACCTACGCAAACATGAAGCTAATGAATTTTGTTCTACATTGGTGCGTGCTATATGGTCAATGAAGAGAAGGGCATGTGGGGTTGAGCAGTAATTTTAACTTAGTATATTCATAGAATTGTAGTAAGTTTGCAAAAACTCTTCCATATGAATTCAATTATGCTTACACAGTAAATAGGGGCAGGATTGTTGCTTCCATTTGACAGGTGGAAAGATAAACTGGGGATTAGATAGTTGAATGGCATTTCCAGGGTTCCCAGGTATTGAAGGCCCAGGCTCATATGGGAGAAGTCTGTGTATTCTCTGCTCCCAGTACCTACTGCCCATATCATTTTCAGAGCTAAATACATGTCTTAGCATCTGTGTTACTTCTCTGATCTAGTCTCTTACAGCTAGAGTGATGGTTTCTACATTTAAAGCTACTGTTACTCTTTTGTTTCCAACCCTCAATAGCACCATGATTCTCTCTAGGTCATTCTTGATGTGCTCCTGGTCTGGGTTCCAGCCCCCATCGTCTGTCCTGTGTTCAAATATAGAAACACTCTTCCTAGAGCATCTTCTTGCTTTTGACTGTGTCAGGATCAGAAATTTTGCAGAGGAACAAATGAGAAGGAATGTCTCACAGGACATGGTGGCAGTGGAGAAGACAGAGGGGCATTCAGAACTTCAGCTAGTAGAACGCCGGGACGACTGACATAAATGGAAGTATCTGGTTTTCATTCATTGTTTGTCATCAGGGCACACCACTCTAAACCCCTACACTATGTAAAATTCAGGACTAGATTTTTTTCCCCTCTCACTGGTCACTGCAGGAGGTGTTAGACAATTCTGCCTTGGGGCCTAGGTAGCATGCCCCATATAAGTTGTATTCCTTTTATTGCTCTTCCTGACTCAGGCCCTTCCCCTTGGCTGTATCTCTGCTAAGAACACTGCCCAGATTTAAACAATGTCAGTTGCTTATTCTAGAAAGTCCTTCCTCAAGGCTCCCTTTTTTGAAAACCTACTCCCCCCGTTCCGGCACTTATGATCCTTTTGACCATTCAGCTTGAATAATCAGTGGCTATATTATACTTATAATCGATCATTTATTTGACTCATTGGTTATTTACCCAGGCCAGCAATTCTCAATCTGTAGCTCACAACCTCTTTGGGGGTAGAATGGCCCTTTCATGAGGGTTGCCTAAGATCATGGATATTAACATTACAATTCATTACAATAGCAAAATTATAGTTATGGAATGGTAATGAAAATAATTTTATGGTTGGGAATCACCACAACATGAGGAACTGTATTAAATGGCCGCAGCATTAAGAAGATTTAAGAAACACTGACCTATACTAAAATGTCATCTCCTAAAGAGCAGGGATTAAGGAAAAAAATTTTACTCTCCATTGTTTCCCAAATCCCTGTATGAACACTGCCTGACCTAGAAGGACTTGATTGTGCTTTCTAGGGACTAACTGACTGAGTGTGTGGATTGTTCAGGTAATAGGATGATGGGACCCAAGGGCATCTGATATCACATAACTTTATGCATGCCTGTGCAACTGACAAAGACATTCAAATCCATATTTGAGAGAGTACAGTACCAGCCCCCCTGGGCCTCTGCTATGAGCTGGATTCTGTCCATGGTGCCCTGGGGCTTTCAC